TCTCTCTCTCTCTCTCTCTCTCTCTCTCTGTGGACGGAGGAGATCGGGCAGGGTTTGAGGCGGAAGAGGCGACTGGAGCTCAGGAGATCTCTCGGTTTCGTCCTAGTGGAGATCGACGAGAGGAAGGGCGTTGGGACTGGTTCGGCGAACGGGCACGGATGGAGCTCGGTTTGGTTAGAGAGAAGTCTCTCTCTCTCTCTCTCTCTCTCTCTCTCTCTTTCACGAGATTCGGCCGAAGAGAAGCAAAGGGAAGAAAGAGGCCTGTGGGAGGGAGAAGGGATCGCGGAAATGATCGAGCGAGGACAAGGCCGAAGGCCTCATTTCTTCGGGCTTTTAATGACGCGATGTCTTGGGAAGGAGCGGCGTCGACGTGCGAGCGACGTGCGTAGGTCGTGAGATGGCAGCGTCGACGTGCGTCGGCGAGTCGTGCCGAGATCGTGGCTTCGGCAGAGAGCAGGTGAACGACCCTTTTTATTTTATTTTATTTTATTTTTCCTCGGTACAGAGGTCAACACTGTTATATGAATTCCTTACATTTTGATGATATTTTTATTCCATCAAAAATGAAAGCCCTCTCTATGTTATGTTGATCTTTTATCCTGCCAAAAGATATAGCCTCCCTCCATCAATATTTTACATGAATCTAGGGAGAAAAAAGCCAAGGATTGGCATGATTAATATTCGAGAGAGGCCTTCATGCTGCCATCAAATAGCACTTGTTGCAATAATCATGTGAGTTTGAGGTTGCATATGCCGTGTCATATAAAACTTTTGGTAAAATATGCATTTGAAGAAAGCTACATGTATGTCGCTTTATAGTTTCTAGAAGTCACAAGACACAAACTTTGAATTTTGGCTTCTTCGAGTAACTTACTATAGCACCTACAGATGAAAGTATCCATTCTTAAAATTACAAAAATAACAAAGAATATTATAAAAAAATTTGCATAAATAAAGATGCCACAAATGACAACAGTCTCAATATTCATGCAACTGGATATTAAAAAATGCCAGTAGTTATTAAATAAAAATTTAAATGCGTATCATCTCTGTTGATCAAGCCCATAAGTACCTAAGTTCAACCTCGTCACCTGCTGGTTGATACAAAGGTCCTGGTAAGATGTCACCATTGATTTGCCTTCTCCACATTGCAATTTCATAAGAGTCATATTTTAGTGTCATCCCAAATTCAAGGCACAACACAAGTGCTTGATTACTCTTAAACCCATGGCAATAAATCCCAGCATGATTAGCTTTTTCAACAAACCAAAAATTGGCCCTAAACATTGAACCAAAACATATCTTAGTAGTTGTGGGATTTTGTGGCACAAATGCGAGTGGTTGCTTGATGATGTGTATTGGAGAGATCACTGGGCTATTGGATCATTTATGCCATTAGAGGGTGTTTCATGTGGAAGTAAAATCAATGCAAATTACATGGATAAATGAGCATGAGCATAGGCTTGGTGGATGCAATGCAAGTGATCAGTGGTGGGTTTTGAGCCTAGAGATGATGTGAGAAAAGACTTTGGTGGCTTTGATAGCATGTTAGAAGGGAGGCAAAATTATAAGGACTACACCTTTATTGATTTTTATCATATTAGTGGAAGACTGTGCCTATATATGTAGGCAAGAAAAGAGATCATAAAGGAGAATATCCTAAGAAATATAACAATAATAAATAGTGCATATTTATACTGCAAATAGTTAGCCCGTGTAATAACTTTTGAGAAAAATATCAAAGTGGTCCCTCGACTATTTATGGATGACCATTTTAGTCCAGTGCTATCTAAATATTCAATTTACTCTCTTTTAACTCAAATTTGATCCAAAATAATCCAACAAAGGGAATAATTCAGATCATATTTAAGGAATTAAAAGGCTAAATTAAACACATTTAGTCCGGAGCTAACATAGCCCGTACAAATAGTCCATAGGCCATTTGACCTTTTTTTTCTCAATAATTTACATATGACAACAACAATGAATAGAGAAAGATTTCTTAAAACCAGGCCCATATCGCATCACATGACTATATCGATGTTAAAGTTTAATTTTTTTTGTTTTAACAGTGCTAGTGTTAACTTTTTTTCTTTTAATGAGGGCATGGTATTCTTACTGTACTATTGAGCTTATATTATGTATTATGATCTTCAAAACTGAGTCATTGAATTCCTCACAAACAATATTCTCTTTTCCAGATTCACCCAGGAGCACTAAAGCAAGGGGGGCTGCCCTTGGTTGCATGTTGCTTGTCAGCTGCTCAACAAGCTAGGGTAAGAGCATAAACATCCTGTACACTTGAGTAGTCATTTTAACATGAAATTAATCTGTATACATTAATGTGTGTGAGTGCATTTATGTGCATGTGCATCCAAGTGTAGTAGGTAGTAAGCATGGTTGATATTAAAATTCGTTAAACATAGTGTGTGAAGGATAGGTCATTCCTTGGGATATTAAAGTTTTGACAAAAGAATTTCCAAAATAATCCTCTTGACTATTTGTGGGTGACCAATTTAGTCCCAGAGTATCATGTTGATTTAATTTTGTCTCTCAACTATACGAATTTATCCAAAATGGTCCCTCATGTTATAATTATGACATAAAATGGATCCTATTTTAATCCCTCGATTGTATAAAATTTACCACAATTTAGTCCCAAAGGAACTATTTTGGACCAATTTTATAAGTCGAGGGGCTAAATTGGAGCAATGTGATATTTTGAAACTAAATTGGCCTATTTGAATAGTTGGCGTGGCAGGGTGAGGGGACTATTTTGAAGTTTACCCCGAAGTTTAGATGACCGAGCATAAATTTCCATTATAATGGATTGCAAGTGCTTCATTTTTATCAACCAGAAAATGATGCTCAAACATTTTGTAATATAGTCATAATGATAGGAAAATTAAGATTTCGTATTTGCAGGTTAAAGATATGTGGGCTCCGAAAATTCGCACCCCGACCTCTTCGTGACCCGTTTTCTTTTTTCGGGTTGTCGATGAGAGTTTTAACAAGTTCCAAAAAGGGCTGGGTTGTTCATGGGCCAAGTGCTGGACAGCAGGGAAATCAGCCTAGTATAGTGGGCTGTGTGTGAGTATGAGAGTGAAGGGGCCTGCTGTTTGTAGTGGGATGTATAAGGGCTGTTTTGGGTTGGATTTAGGTGTGAAGGGGCTGTAGTTATTGGGCCAAAGGTTGGAGGAAGTGTTGATTCAGCAGTGGTAGTTTGGTTGAGTTCAGTGGCTGTAGGTAGGGACTTGAGAAGTTGCTGGCAGCAGTTTAAAGAGGAAGAAGGAATGGGTTTGGGCTGCAGCTTTACTCGTTTTGCTTGCTGGCTAGGTGAGTGATGAAGTCTGGAAGAGATGTGGTATCTTGGGCTTTGGGTTTGTAGTTGGCTGTAGAAGAGAAATGGAGGATTAAACACTCTCTGTTATGGAGAAATTGAAGAGAGAATTTTGTTTTGTGAGGAGATCAGTTTGCTGTAGGCTGTGAACTAGATAAAGTTCAGCCTTTGCTGAAGTTGGAGGGTAGGTCATGATATGTAGAGAAGAAAAGGATTGGTAGGATTGGGTGAGCTGCTGGTGTGCGAGTAGTTTGGGTAGAGGAGGGGTAGGTGTTGGCTGTAATGGTTTTGACAGAGAGGCGGCTTTTGAAAGCAATTGTAGTGAATGTCCAACTACTAGGAGCAGGTTGGGAGAGGGAATGGGAAGAGTAGAGCTGCAGCTTCGAGATTGTGAGTAGGTAAGTAAGTGGCTGAGAGAGCACCTGCACTTGCTGGAAAAAGTTGAAGGTGGTTGGGTGAGGAGGCAGCAGCTGGTTGAAGTGGAACTGGTGGCTATTAGGCTAATGGAGGTGGAGTTGTCCTTGGAGTGGAAAGAGAAGAAGGAAGGAGGCGATGGAAGCTGCTTTGAGAGGAAGGGAGTTTGGGAGCTTCGAACAGAGAACGTGAGAGGGAAGGGCTGCTTGTGAGGTGGAGATCGGGCAAGGGAGACAGGAGCTGGAAGTTCAAGATGTGGAGAAGCTGTAGCATCTGAAATGAGAGGGAATTAGGCTTAGGTTATATTTGCTTATTGAAGTGAGCAGCTGTTTGCAGGGATAAGAAGATGGGCAGCTTGCTATATTGAGGGATTTGGCAGGATTTTTGGCAGGGATATGGGCGGCTGGTACAGAAAGATTTGAGCAGGTAAGGGCAGTTTTTTGAGGCTAGTACGATAGGATTTGAGCGGGATAGGGAATGGGCTAGAGTGGGAATTTATATAAAAAAAAAAAACAGTTTATATATATAATCTCAAAATTTTAAAAATAAGAAAGATAAAAATATAAATCAACATCTCAGCAATCCCTTATTATTTGTGCATCTCGTTTTACGTGCTACCAGCACCTCGATATGATTGAATGACTCTTTCTTAGCAAATTCGATGTTCTAAGCGCATCGGTGTGATCTATTTCATGATCGGATAAGGTTTTGAGCCATTTTAATGACGATCGAGGGTCCCGATGCTCTTATAAGCAACATATCTATTACTTGCCTTCCTCGATATACTCAATTGTGAAATACATATAGAGGTCAACAAGATACTAATCTTCAGAAGGTCAAGTGAACATTCTCCATGGTTGTAAAACAGTTTTCTTGTCTCGTCAGGAAAATTATCTTCCCATTTTTCTTGAAATATTTATTTTTCTCATGAGTTTCATAAGATAGGATGAAAATTGGTATAGGGTATTGATTGGGAAAAGATCTCAAATGCATTAAATCCTGATCAGTTGGTGGATAATTGCAGTTAACTGGGTTTCATAATATTTCAAAATTTATAATTTGGATTACTTCATTCCATACTTTTTTGTTTTATATTTGTTTAATAAACCCAAATTAACTAGTAGTGTAACTAGCCCAATCACACACTTTTCTTTGCGACAAAAGTACACATTTATTCATAATAGATAGCAAATAATTCCCTAAACAAATGTAATCACTTCATGTTTCACAAACAATGCAGAAGGGTGGTTGTTTTGTAATTGAAAGTGTTGTGTGAGCTTCATTTGTTGAAATGCATGCTTAGTAATCATTAAAAATATTTATTCCAAAAGTACAAATTGGTAGAGTGGCACCTAACTAACAAAAGTGCATAAAGCAAAAAATAATACTTGAAATGAAAAATAGGAAGGGCTTAAAACCTAATTATGCGGAGAAGAAAACTGGGTGGAGAAATCATCGTGAATATAAATTTTAAAAAAATGCCTTTCCATGTATTAAAGAGTGAAAGGAGTTTCTCTCATCATTGCCTTTTTATTTTTTGACAAACAAGATACAGATGCGAATGATATTATGCTTAGTTTTTAAGGGTTCTCTGCAAGCTAAAGGTGGATTATTACTATGGGAAGGTGAGGATAAATCATATCCAGCTTCAAAAAATCCAATTTAGTAGCTGAGCTAACTCTATTTTTTTTTTAATGAGATAAATTTCATGCTAATGAAGGTATGCAGAATATTCCATAACTGATTTTGAATAATAACTTATGTGTTTAACTGCACACTTCTGTTTATGTTTATATACTCCTTGATGTAAAAATTGAATGTTAAGAAAGCTATTACTGTTAATTTTTACGTGGATGATATATTTCGATTGAAAGATCCCACCTTGATTTTACAGGTACCTATTACAGTACATTTTGATCATGGATGCTCCAAAACTGAGCTGATTGAAGCTATTGAGTTGGTATTGTGCAATCATTTATTAAGTTGTTAATGATTTCTGTTTTAAAATTCTATTTACTTTTATCTTCTGACTCCTGAATCTTCCGGTCCATCTGACAAATATGCAGGGATTTGATTCTATTATGGTTGATGGGTCAAATCTTCCCTTCAGAGAAAACATATCATACACAAAGAAAATAGCAGTTTTGGCACATGCAAAAGAAATGTTGGTCGAAGCTGAACTTGGCCGGTTATCAGGAAGTGAGGATGGCTTGACCGTTGAAGAATATGAAGCCAAACTAACTGATGTTGCTCAAGTATGTATTGTGTTTGTTTTGAGCTGCTTCATGTTAATTTTCCTTATAATTATGATAATTCTCAACAACTATGTTGCAGGCTGAACAGTTTATTGATGAGACGAGCCTCGATGCTCTTGCAGTTTGCATTGGAAACGTGCATGGAAAATACCCAGCTAGCGGCCCGCGCCTCAGACTTGACTTATTGAAGGTTGGTTAAATGTCAATAATAGTTTAATGGAAGACTGGTATGAGTGATGTTTTGCAAAAGAATCTTATGAATTTAAGGCATTTTAATTGATGTTACACAACAAAGTAGAGAGTAGAAGAAGGTGAATAAGCTAGAGGAAGAAGAGGCTGCGAAAGGAAAGAATAATAGATAGAAGGGTGTTGCCACCTCTGACTTGCTTCCAGTAGAAAAAGACTAGGTTGGATGGGCGAGAGAGATTGATATAGGATGATTTTTCCTGAATTATTACTTAAAAGATTTAAAATTTGGCAGCAATTTAGGAGCAAAATCCTTGCTGCAAAATAGGAGGTATCAAACCCACTGGATTTGTGAAAAATGAGAGGCCTGTTTCAGTTGAGGAATAAATCTGCCAGTTAGATAGAAAGGGAGGGAGGGGGGAGAGAGAGAGTGAGAGAGTCAGAGAGAGAGAGGGAGAGGATAGGAATAAAATTACTAATACAATTCGTATCATTGGTAATTTTGTTAATCGATAATAACTTGCAGGAAAGCTTAGGAATTAAGTGAACTGAGTTAAGAACTAGAGAACTAGCGACATTGATTGTATCAATGTCAGTTATGATATTGAGCCAACGGGAATTTTAATTTATAATCCTTTAGGCTCTAATCAAGTTTGAAATAAGAAGGCATCACCTATATTAATAAAATTTCGAAGAATGCACTGGAGGGGAACTTTACGAAAAGCCTCAAAACGTGAGATTCGGACGGCAGTTAGAGTAATGAGGTCTCGTGACTTTGGAGAGGCTATGGAGCTAGCCCAGTTAGTGGAGGATCAGAGGTGCTAGAGGCCACAACTCAGGAGGTTCATACATAATGACCACCAACTTTTTGGCATCCAAAGAGCCGACACCGGATATTCTTAGGGAGTCCTTGAAGGATACAATTGTAGGAAGGAGGCCTAGGGGAAACTTCAAGAAGCTCGCAGAAACGAATTTACATGAGAAGAGGGCGAGGATGTGCTTCAGATGTAAGGACAGGTATACACCGAGGCACGAGTGTAAGGACCAAACACTTCAGGTTCCCACTGTTTATGATGATGAGAAAATTGAGGGAAACGTACGAGAGAACGAAGCAACTGTTTCCTCTATTCCACCTTGAGGACAAGGTGGCACTTTGGGAGGGGAGTATTGATGATCGGCCGTTTGATTGGGAGAAAACTAAGAAGTTTTCTAATGAAGAGGGAGTTGTTTATGAAGCTTCTTAATTAAAGGGTTTTGTTTAGAAAAGCTTTAATTATATTTGGGAGGTAATTATTTAGGGAATGAGATCTAATTTGAATTCAAAATCTAAGAGGTAATTATTTATGGAGGAGGAATTGAGGGGAAATTGTTTAGGAAAGCTTTTATTACAATTGGGAGGGAATTATTTAGGGCAAGAGATCTAATTTGAATTCAAAATGTAAGAGAGAATTATTTAGCGAATGGGGGCTGATTTAGGAGGGAATTAGGAAGAGATTATTTAAGGCTAACTATGTTGTTATTTTGGGGAGAGGTGATTTGTGTTTGTTGTAGTCTTTTTTAAGAGGGCTCTAGCCGGCGGCTAGGAATTTGAGAGAGCCGGATCTTCTTTTCCAATTGATTATCCAATTGTATCGTGCTTTTTCATTCATATATCTTTCAATAAAAAGTTCTTGACTTCTTGTGTGTTCTTTTTCCTAATTTTCTCAATTTCTACATCTACTTCCTATCAGACTGTTACTAACTTGTTTTCTAACTTTAAAAAAAAAAATCCTTTACAGGCAAAAAGTTAGCTTCACTTAATGTATCATTAGCTTGAAAACCAATGATTCATTAATATCCATGAAAAGCACTTCTTTTTTCCTTGTGTGCATTACAGAAAATGATACATAGGAAAATGTAATTAAAATCATCATTTGATCCCAACACCAACTGTTGTTTCAGCCTAATAAATTAAATGAACAATAACTATGTACTCTTGAAATAATTCCGCACTGTAATATATATTACTGCCTGATATTTTGTATCATAATAATGATAAGTTAAGCTAAGACTCAAAAATGTTTGGGCGTGCGATGTTATTAACAATTTTATTGATTTCCAGGACCTCCGGGAAATAACTTTAAATAGGAGTGTGAGTTTGGTTCTCCATGGTGCATCTGGTTTGCCCGTTGAACTTGTAAAGGTACAATTGCCCTCCAACATTTTTTATTTTTATTTTTTAATTTTCTTTTCCAACATTTTTAATGCTTAAGTTGATAATATACTCGGATTAGTGCTTTTCTAACCTCTTTAGAACTCTAAAACGTTTTATTTATCCATGATAGAAAATTGAATATCTTTATTTTCATTTCAATTTTTTTTTAATATTAAGTATTGATCTTGTTAAAACAATAATGTTGTATTACACCTAGAGATGAAAATGATGGAAATATGGTTTCTTTTGGTTAAAGTCAAGAATCTATATTATATTTTTCAGTTCTAGTGACAGTGCCTACAATTTGTAGAAGAGTAAAGAATGACTTGCTACTATTTTTTTGCCTTGGTTGGCTTTGATCCTTCAGCTTTCATATTTGTGTGAATCCGTTCCTGACTTTCAAAATGTGTGTTTGCTCCTTCATTAATTGAATCTGTAGTGTGGGAAGCGAGTTTTGGCATCTTTTAATTACAAATGCTAATGATCTCTTTATTTTTCAATCTCTTTAATTGTAAATGCTAATAATCTTCATTAATGATCTCTTTACAAAATGCAGTGGCTTACACTATGTTTTTGTGATTGTTGTTCTTAAAAATCCCTAAAAACAACTTCTAATTATTTTAGTGTCCATTTGGTATAACTTTTTTAATGCTTTGACATAATATAAAATATATTTGGTATGTTAAAAAAATATAATATTTGTATTTTTATTTTTATTGAATATCATATATGTTGATCTATGCATCACTGGCGACAATGGTTGTGACCTGTGTGGTGACAACGGCGGCGATGGTTGATGGTGGTTATTGCTGGGTGACAACAATGATAGTTGTTTTTAAAACACGAACACCTCAAAATTATTTGGAGTGTTTTTAAAATCAAAAAAATAAAAAAGCACTAAACAAACATATTTTTTTAAAACAAAAATAAAAACCAAAATGATCTCAGACAACCTTCGAGTGTTTGTGTTTTCTTCTTATTTGTTGTCTTTCTTACCAACTCACACCTAAGGGCATCTCCAACCGAAAATCTCATTTTTCACTCCAAAATACAATGAAACTAAAAAATGTCATGATTCATCTCCAATCGAACTCCATTTTGCACGCTTCTGCGAAGTTAACCGTGTTTCTTCGACAAATCCGGTTGAGACAGAAAAATCACATAGGTGAATAGTGCAACGCCAATATTGACGCCGCACTGTTCACCCTCCACTACTTAGCAATTTTTTTGCCGTTCAAATGAAGCAAACCAGCTACACCTTATAGTCGTTTGGAGTTCGGCTGGAGACATCCTAAGCTTGTAAAATGACCACAATACACAGAATTTAATGAAAGTTGATAGTTTTATTGTGTGCTTCCAGATTTGCGCGGCCTTATAAAAGAAGCATTTCGTTTTTATTTTTGTAAATGAATAATATTTTGACGTTAATGACATGCAGTGTTCCTGATTTGAACAGGCATGCATAGAACTGGGTGTTAGGAAATTCAATGTGAATACAGAAGTCCGAAATGCTTACATGGAATCTCTGCGGAAACCGAGCAAAGATTTGGTTCATGTGATGGAGTCGGCCAAGGAGGCGATGAAAGCTGTGATTATTGAGAAGATGCAGCTATTTTGTTCTTCAGGAAAAGCATAATGAATTGCACATTCTGAACTGGAGGAGTTATGGCTTTCTGGTGTATAAACTTCTTAGATTGTTAGCTTTCAAGCATGACTGGAATTCCGGTATTTTCTATTTCTCAACTCTAACAGGCTAAGCAATTTACTCATTAGTTCAGAAATAAGTTTTATTTTGAGATTCAATTGCTCATTTAGTCTATAGATTTTCGTTATTTCAAATAATCTGTCACTCTTTCTTGATGAAATAATGTGATTTTTTGTCACCTTTTGCTGTTTTTGACTTGTAAAATGCATCTATTTAGAGGCATCTTTTCACAGCGCAGGCTTAATGATTTTAAAGTGAGATTCTTGGGTTTTGATTTATATAAATTGTTTCTGTATGCTGTAAAAAAAATGATCATCTGTCAAAGTAGAAAGTTAAATAGTCAAATATAGCTTCCAATTAATCTCATGTGATCAACTTATGATTCATTTGGGATAGTTTTGACTGTTTTCTAAAATAGCTTTCTAGCATAAAAATTTTTTAAAAGTAATAAAAAATAGTACTCTAAAGCTTTTCCAAATGAAGCCTTAGGCTTCGTTTGGGATAGCTTTTTTATTGCTTATTAAAATAATTTTTTTGAAGCAATAAAAAAGTTGTCCCAAATAAAACCTTAGTCTTATAGTATTATATTTCTATAAGTTAATCTCTCGTTTATATAAAATTGATCTTAAATGATTCCTACGATAGAAATTAACTAAATTTGGGGATAAGATTGATATCAATTTAGTTGAAGAATGATCATTTGGGTTTCATTTTGTATAGTTGAAAATTTTAATTAGAAAAATGTGATGCTTTAGGATTAAATTTGTCACATACAAATAATCATGGAATTTTTTTTAGCTTTTACCCTGTTAGTAATAGCCCATGCACTTGAAGTCCCTGTTCTTTTGATGAAAGCTCTAGTCATTATATTGCCACTAACTTTGGAAGTACAACAAATAAGCCATGTAAATTATGCAATCTTGATTCTTTGGATTTAGAAGATAAACATAGCTGATGAAGTAATAACTATGGGCTTGGTAGGTGTGTGCCTCCTAGGGGTGTAAGTGAGTCGAGCCGGCTCGTGAGCCAGTTCGAACTCGACTCGTTAACGAGCTCGCGAGCCAAGCTTATCGAGCTTCGAGCTCGAGCTCGAGCCTATAATCGAGCTCGAATGATAAACAAGCTCGAGTTGGATCTTGAGCCAGATCGGCTCATGAGCTCGCGAGCTGGCTCGTTTAATATTTATTAATTAAAATAATATATAATATATATCATAATATATTATAATATATGTTAATGAATATATATGTTAATTAGAATAATATATGCTCAGACAAGATACAACTGCGGTTGTTTTAATTAAAGTAATGTATAAACTGTATTATAGTATAGGTTATGTGAGTCCCAAGTGTAAGTTTCAAGTGACAGGCTAACAGTTTTTTTTTTTTTTTTTGGAAAAAAAAAAGTAGCTCAGGCGGGAAAAAAAAGACGGACTCGTTTAAGTCAAATCAAAAATGGAGAGGCAGGAAAATGCCAAACTGAACTGAGCCGACTCGAGCTCGTTTACTGCGGAACGAGCTCGAGCTTGAGCTCACCTGTTGAGCTCGACTCAAGCTTGAGCTCGCTTTTCGACTAACGAGCTGAGCTCTATAAGGCCTAAACTCGAGTCGTTTACACCCCTAGTGCCTCCTATAGCTTGGATTGGCATATTTAGAAAAATATATTGCCTTTGTTAGGAATAATTGTTGTGAGAGTCGAGCCCTCATAGGGCGAGCACCCCTTCAAGCGAGGGCTTATTAAGGCCAGTACTAAGAATATATGCATCATTAATTTGATCTCCAAGAGGCAAGCTAATATGTTGCAAGCTCAATTGGGGTGAATACCTACTTGTCTATAGCCTTGTTATGGTGATTGCTCCTTGAGACAAGGCTTGTCTGCACATTGCAAGTTATTTATATGGACATGTATAGATATACATTTATGAACCTTTAATAGTTTTGATTGAGGCTTTTTTTAGGACCGCTTTTTTGCTACTTTGTAAAGTTGATTTTGGGTATAAAAATCTCTTGAAAGCAGAGAAAAATAATAGTATGAAATTGTTCCAAATGAAGCCTAAATTTAGGCATAAATATATTCAAGTAGAATTTAAATTTCAGCTATGAAGTAATCTCTCTTGTAAATTCAAGTTAATAACAACTCTTGTACTATGAGTATCATCTCTCTAATTTTGCTCAATATTAGATATTTATTTCTTCCTCTCTAAGAGCCACTTTTTTTTTTTTTAACAAAACATAATAATATATTAGATCGAAAGAGCGATTACAAGAAACATGAAGCAAATGCAAAAACATGAGAAGGCCAAGACTCCCAGCTTCCCAAAAGATAGCTCGAACCGTCCAATTTGGTGGAAACAAACGCGAATCAGCTGTCCTGACGAGAACAACACCAAAGGTTGCCACGAGCCATACTTTGTGAGAAGCGAGCCCCAGCCACATCATTGCCCGGCTCAACAACCAACCACAAAAACGAAAAACATAGTTCTACAAAAATTAAACCCACTGAAAGTGTCAACACGAAGGCACAGAGCATCAACAGGATCTTCCAAGCAGCCCAAAGAACAGATACCATGACGAACCAACCAAAAGGCCTTCCAAATAAACCAAGAAGGCAGCACCAGCAAGTTAATCAACCCCAACCACGTCTGCCCCTCCCACGAGCTCTACCACGAGAGGCACCATAAACAAGAGGTAAATCACGTAACACGGCAAAAGAATTGCCAGCAACCTCATCCCCAGACGATTCCAAAGAAACAGAATCTGAATCAGAATCGGACGCACCCTTAAGCCAATCCAATTGAACACGAGCATCCAATCCCGAATTGTCCCCCACATGATACACTAAGCTTGGAGAATCAATTAACATAATAGGTACATCCACAAAGTTGTTATTAACTAAACAATCGTTCACAATAGGAGGCGAGCTGGAGGTAGCAGAAACCTCACCACCACCCGCACCCAAATTCTCAGAAGGAAGAGCAGACTCAGTCGGGCAATCCAAAACAACATGATTTAAAGAAATATCACCCAAAATAGTCGGGGCTGACACCACCGACAAGAAGGGACCAGCACAAAACATGACCATCAGCACTAAAACAAGGATGAGGGGAGGCAGCAATAGGATCTAAAGTGGCCATATTAAAACCTTGAGGGACAAAAGGTAAAGCGTCAGGGGACAAAACATCAACATCATCAACACCATTAATCTTACCACTCGAAATATTCTCATCATTATCCACATCAATAACCACATTTTCAACAGCTAAAATAGATGGAAGGGAATCCACATTGACCAACTGAACCACAGGCTCCACACACAAAGCAGTAGGTGAAGAAATGGGTTCAACAAAGAGCATTGGCTCAGCCTCAACAAGAGAAGAAGAGATAATCGGTTCAGAATTAATAACAACCTTATTAGCAACCTTAGGAGGCACCGAAAAGTCAACCCCAGGTTTATAATTACTAGAAAAATGCCCAAATTTTTTACGCGAAGAACAAAAGGGAGGGAAATCTTCCAAAACAACATGCTGCACATATCCAATAGCTTCAGGGCCTAACCAGACACAATCGGGATAGGATTTAGTGACATCTAATTCCACCAACATACGAGCAAGGGAAGGCCTAGACCCAATTGAAGTAGCAGTAACAATTCTTAGAGGCTTTCCAAAAATCAAGCCCAAGCCATGAAGAACGCGGGGAGAGTAGAGATGGGGGCACACCTGAGAGAAAGACACCCAAATGGGGATAACCGACGACTCGACCCCAATATCCACAATGGGCGACCATTTGATAAGTTTCATAAAGCAGTTGTAAACTAACTAAGATCCATGGCAAAAAACTCGACAATAATCAAGATTGTTGTTGAGCTTAATGAGAATATGAGACGGGTCCAGCAAAATAACGAAAAATTCACCATTCAACTTTAGATTAAAGAAAAACCGTCAAATAGAGTCCAATGAAGGACGCTTAGATGGGAAAAATCCGATTAGAGAGAACTGGAAAGGCGCAACAAGCGCAGAAATTTCGTGTTCCGAAATCCAAAGAGAGGGTATACCACGAAAAGAGGAAACCCTAAGCTCCGGAAAAATGGGTTCATTAGACTTTCCCGCAAGGACATCTAAAAACGAACGAGAAGAGGAAGAAACCCCTAAAAAACAAGGGTCACTGAGCTTCGGCGGCATGCCGGCAACGCCGGACAGAAACACAAAATCAAGATCCACCAGAGAGAGAGGAACTTACCTGGATGAACGAAGCAGACAACGCCACCACGGCGAGAAACACCGGCCACTAGAACACACCGGAGAGAGCTAGGGCAAAAGCCCTAGCAGAGCAGGAGCGAAAAGCGAAAGCATCTAAAGAATTTCTCTAAGAGCCACTTGATCTGTAATTGAAGTTAATATTTTAAAACACATTTTAAAATACTTTCATTTGGGTTCTTGAAGTATAAGTTGTGCTTAATATTGATTCTTCAATCAATAAAATTACTAATAAAGTATAAGATACCGAAATTTTATTATTTCCTCCAACCTTGCTGGGCCTGATTGCTGGTATTGCAGACTGACGTGGGCCCATAAAACGAATAATAAATGGGCTCCTCAAAATCCCAAAAGACTAACAAAGAAATCACCCAAAAGCATATATTTTAAGCCAATTTAATGAATTATCATGTAATTTAAGGCTCATTTGGGAGAACTTTTTATAGTTTTGCTTTTTACATCATAATTATAATTTTTTTATCATTATTTTTTGATAAATTTTTGTACTAAGAAGTTGCATTTAACAACGGCTTTCAAAAAAAAAAAATTTCTCTACAACAGTTTTAGAACTACCTTCATAAAAGTTATAATCGTTCCAAATGAACCCTTAGAGTCTCTTTGAGATAGTTTTTGCATTGCTTTACTTTTTAGATATAATCATAATTTCATTTGGCTACAATTTTTTGTTGCTTTTTTACTAGGTTTGAGATTTTTACAATGGAAAGTTATTTTTTATAATCAAATAGTTAAAAATATTTTCCCTACAAAAACTTCATAATAAAAATAATTACTTGAAAATTATATTTAATA